ATCGAATCGACCTCATCCCCGGAGCACCACTTCCAAACAAAGCTCCATACCGTGTCAATCCCGAAGAAACTAAGGAGATTCAACGGCAAGTACAACAACTAATCGACAACGGTCATGTACGTGAAAGCTTAAGCCCTTGTGTCGTTCCCGTTATACTTGTGCCTAAGCCCGATGGAAGTTTCCGCTTGTGCTCCGATTGTAGACCTATAAATGCTATCACCGTTCGCTATAGGCATCCCATTCCTCGCTTAGATGATATGCTTGATGAACTTAGTGGAGCCAACTTTTTCTCAAAAATTGATCTTAGAAGTGGCTATTATCAAATCCGCATTCATGAGGGTGATGAATGGAAAACTGCTTTTAAAACCAAATTTGGCTTATATGAGTGGTTGGTTATGCCTATGGGTTTATCGGAGGCTCCCGGTACTTTTGTGCGTCTCATGCATCATGTACTTCGACCTTATATTGGAGTCTTTGTTGTGGTTTACTTCGATGATATTCTTGTGTTTAGCAAAACCATGAAAGAGCATCTTGATCATGTTAAGCTTGTTTTGCAAACACTTCGAAAGGAAAGTCTTTATGCCAACTTGAAAAAATGCACTTTTGGCGTTGACAAAGTGGTTTTCTTGGGTTTCGTTGTCTCTTCCAAGGGTGTCCATGTTGATGAAACTAAAATTGAAGCAATTAAAACTTGGCCCCAACCCACCAATTTGCAACAAGTGCGAAGTTTCCTTGGTCTTGCAAGTTTTTACCGCCGCTTTGTGAAAGATTTTAGCACAATAGCCGCTCCTTTGCATGCTTTGAGTAAGAAGAATACTCCTTTTATTAGGGGATCTTTGCAATCCAACGCTTTTGATGAGCTCAAGTCTTTGCTTACTCATGCTCCGATTCTTGCTTTGCTCAATTTTGACAAAACTTTTGAGGTTCATTGTGATGCAAGTGGTACCGGAATTGGCGGAGTTTTGATGCAAGAAAAACAAGCCATTGCTTATTTTAGTGAAAAACTCTCCGGTGCTCAACTTAACTATCCCATATATGACAAAGAATTGTATGCTTTAGTGCGTGTACTACATGTTTGGGAACATTATCTTAGACCTCATGAGTTTGTCATCCATACCGATCATGAAACGCTTAAGTACTTGAAAGGTCAAACTAAATTGAACAAGCGTCATGCCAAATGGAGTGAATTTATTGAATCTTTCCCATATGTGATCAAGTACATTAAGGGTAAGGAAAATGTAGTTGCCGACGCACTTTCACGCATATGCACGCTTGTCACCCAACTTGAGTTGAATGTTATTGGCTTTGAGCACATAAAAGATTTGTATGCTAGTGATCCATCTTTTGCACCTCATTATGCTAAATGTGTGATGCATACATCTTGGGAACAATATTACCTCAAGGATGGTTATCTTATGAGAGCTAACAAACTATGCGTTCCCGAGTCTTCTCTTCGTTTGCTCCTTTTGCAAGAGGCTCATGGAGGCGGACTCATGGGACATTTTGGACGCGACAAGACTTTCGCCACGCTCTCCAAGAACTACTTTTGGCCCAAGATGTTTCGAGACGTCTCGCGCTTCACCACCCGATGCTCTACATGCCGCAAAGCTAAGTCAAAAGCTCAATCTCATGGTCTTTACATGCCTTTTCCTATTCCTTATCAACCTTGGGAAGACATTAGCATGGATTTTGTACTTGGTTTGCCTAGAACTCAAAATGGAAAGGATTCCGTGTTTGTTGTTGTGGACCGATTTTCTAAGATGGCACATTTCATTCCTTGCAACAAGGTAGACGATGCTTCACATATTGCAAATCTCTTTTGTAGGGAAATCTTGCGCCTCCATGGAGTACCAAAGACAATCGTCTCCGACCGCGACGTCAAGTTCTTGAGTTACTTTTGGAAGACTCTTTGCGCCAAGCTCGGAATCCAGCTATTGTTCTCATCCGCATACCATCCTCAAACTGACGGCCAAACGGAGGTGACGAACCGGACTCTCTCCATTCTACTTCGCGTGTTGATCAAGAAGAACATCAAGGAGTGGGAAGCATGTCTACCCATCGCCGAGTACGCCTACAACCGTGCAAGACATTCGACGACCGGCAAGTCCCCCTTCGAGGTCGTCTACGGCTTCAACCCATTGTCCCCATTGGACATTCTACCTCTACCTCTACAAGAGCGCACCAACATGGATGCGAGTGCACGAGCAAACTACATCAAGAAGATACATGAGGATACAAGAAACACCATCGAGCACCAAGTACAACGACTAGCGACCAAGCTCAACATCAACAAGCAACCCATGATCTTCAACATAGGCGATCTCGTGTGGCTACACCTTCGCAAGGAACGCTTCCCCAACGAATGCAAGTCCAAACTTCTACCTCGAGCCGATGGACCCTTCAAGGTGTTAGCACGCTACAACAACAACGCTTACAAGCTCGACCTACCAAGCGACAAGTACAACGTGAGCGACACCTTCAACGTCAAAGACCTCTCGCCTTTCCATGGTGATGAAGATCTTGATCCGAGGTCGGATCCTTTCGAAGGGAGGGGATATGATGCGGAGCATCCTTCCATCATCCCCATGGACTCTACATCAACACATCCAACCCCACAAGGACCTATGACTCGAGCACGCGCAAGAGCTCTTGAAACCGAGGTGACATCACTCCTCTCACAATTCCCTTTCGATTCACATGAGACATGGATACTACCTCAAACGGAAACGCTATGCATACTCAGGCACCAAGGAGTTAACCATGAAGAAGCTAGGAAGCAAGGAGAACCGGAAGCGGAAGACATGCATGAAGACGGAGAGGAAAAGCACCAAGGCCCAGGATGGCCGGACGATCCGGACCCCGGCCCGGACGATCCGGACCCCGGCCCGGACGATCCGGCTAAATCACCCTGAAGACACCCGAAGCTCTCACCTGAAGCCGGATCATCCGGACCAGTCCCGGATCATCCGGACCCTGCCCGGACGTCCGGACCACCAGCCGGACATCCGGCTCCGCGCCGCCACCAGCCGGGCATCCAGCTCATCAGGGCCTCCACCCGGACCATCCGGACCAGCCCGGATCATCCGGCTCCTCCTCCGGATCATCCGGCCAGCGCCTGCGCGCGCGTGTTGGGCTGAGCCCATGTACCCCTTCGCCCCCTAGTCTATTTATAGGACCCCCTCTCCTCACTTTGAGACTTAGCATTGGATTAGCTCATATTTGTGTGAGAGCCTTTGCTCATCCACTTGGATACTTCTCCTCGGAGATCACGACCTCTTTAGAGAAGATCCCCCAAGCGGATTCAAGACCCCTTCTAGGGAAGAACATCAAGGCCTCCTCTTGGAGAAGAACGGTTCCTTTGTATCCTTACCTTTGTTGACTTTGGATCTTGTGGATCTCTTATGTGTGTGGTGATCTAGCACTTGTGTGATCGATTCCTTGTTGGTCCAAACATGAAAGATCGACGCTATAGGGTTCCACCCTACATCAATCTACCCCCATGGTCATTCTCTTGGGTCATTTGCATTGTTCCTTCTCTTTGCCACTAGAAAATTGCCCCACTACAGGAGTCCACAAACTGCATAGGAAAAACCTGATCATCTCATACTTGACCTCCAGGAAAATTCTTTCTCCCGCTAAATTCAATGGTGCATGACACGCTTCCAATCGCCCAGGAAGAAAACCTGTATGACCAACAGATTATTGTCAACTTCTCTGATCTCCCTTACATGAGCTAGATTCCCCACAAACTTTAGTGTTTCCTTTAGAGCTGCGCTGCTAAAGGTCTTGGTAGTGTTGGCCTTGGCTACAGCAAGCCACCGGGCTCGTTCCTACCCAGTACAACTTTTTTCCAATGGAGAAGCCTAGCAGCTCCTGGGCCATTTCTAGGGAGCAGACCTAGCAAGCACGCAAGTGTGATTCTATCCTTTTCAATCATTTTATTACCATCTCCCCGCAAAAATAAATAATATTATGACCATCACTTATGAAACATTTTATTAGCGCCGAGATGCAGGCAGACATAACAATCTTTTCACCCTCCACTTTCATAAAAAAGAAAACGTTCATAGCCTCCATTTAACAGCTGCGCACATGCACTCGCTGCTAACCAAAACCTAATCAATCCGGAATGAACAAGAGATTCTACTTGTATACCACAACAAGCAGGCAAATATCAAACAGGGCAGATGGCCCAAACATGCATCCAACAACATAGAGTATCTTCATCGCAAAAAAAAAACGAAAAAAAATGATATAGAGTATCTGCTTCCCTCCTCAACCAGCACAAACTAGTAAAACACCAATGAAATGCAGCAGCGACGGCGCCCTTATCGCTGACGTAGATGCCATCCAACGACTTGGTATCCTTGTCCTTCACATGGGAATTTCTGTTCGAGTAACAAGAGAAACAAAACAAGGGTCAGTGTGGATGAAACTGTGCATCAGAACAATCGACACAACTAACAAGATAAGTAGCCAATACTCAATACGATGATAACCAAAAGTCAATACAATCTTATTTTGCAGAGGAGAAGTCAATACAATTGATCTGTTATAGGAACAGAAAATTCCTTCGTATTCCAAACTGGCGCATTTTCCAGTTGCGGTTTTGTATTCCAGCAAATCAAACAACTGGCCACATGCCAAACGAATCTCAAGGCACACAGATATTTGTTGAACCGTTGTGATGTTAAAGGATGGATGATAAACTAGTCATATATAGGACCTAATCTTCATTACGGTCATGATATGGATGCATATGAAAACATGTACTATAAGCCCAAGTATGCTGGTGAGAAATATAAGATCAGCAATTGAAATTCAAGTAAGTAATGGAAAGCTTCAACATGCAGACATACTAAAAAAATACAACATATCCTCAAAAAAAACAATCTAAACAAATACAGCAAGGAACTATAAGCATCATCATATAACTAAGGCATGTGATAACCATCAAGACGAGACAAGGTACTTTGAGCCAATAGAAAGCTTTACCTATTTCAAATTGTCGGGGCTGACAGCAACGATGGTGGGAAGTTGGTATATATTTGTGCATCTACGCCCCATTGCTTCAACGAGCACACCCTTTCAAGGCGCATCGTCTTGATGTCCAGTGAGAGGCATTCGCAATCTGCCGGCTCCAATGACCGGTTGTCAGCATGCTTTAACAGGAGCAAGTAGGCATCCGTTGCACCGAGGATGCAATACCAGTACCCATAACGCAGCGCCACTGTCTGCTTCAGCTTCCACTGGTTGTCTGCTTCCCTAATGGTGTAGTGGAGGTAATATACGCCACCTACAAATGCAAGCGCGAACATCCCAAGCCTGCCTTCCCCTGCCTCCACGATGGCTGTGTCTAGCCCAGCACCTCCGGCTGTGCATGGAATGTCGACAAGGGAGAAGTCCATGGTCCGGGCGTGGAGCACGAGCCACATTCCCCGACAACTCGTTTCCCAGTAGAAGCAGCCATGGGCGTAGTGGCGCCCGACCAAGCAAGGCCCCCATGAAAGCTCAATGTCGACGGCGAACAGATCGCTCCAGCTCTGGGACGGGACCGCCCGCCATTGCCCGGAGCTGGACGAGAAGACGAAGGCGACCATGTTAGCCTCGCAGCGCGCTGTCCACATCACTCGGAATGACGTGTCTGGCGCCTCCTCCGCCTCCTCGTCGCTGGGGGGAGCGAGGAAGGGCCCGTATGCCATACACACCGGGTTCGCCACCAGCTGGTCTTGAGGGACCGGGGGGAGCAGGAGGTATCGCTGGTGCAGGGGGTCGCACACGACGACCTCCGTAAACTCCGCCTTCTTGACGCCCTCGGGAGCCCGGTCGAGGAGGACGCGGCCGTCGCTGGCGTCCTTCATGACCCAGCGGTTGGGGGCGGGCAGGAAGGAGAATGAGAAGTCCTTGCCGGGGGCGTTTGCGAGGGCGCTCCCGGCGGGCGCGGAGGGGTGGGGCGGGAGGGCGGGGTGGAAGCCGGCGCCGTCGACGATGCCGAGGAGCGGAGGGGCGTGGAGCCTGCGGAATTCGCGGGTGCAGGCGCGGTCGGTGGCGGCTTGGCGGAAGGAGGAGCAGGTGGCGGTGACGCGGGCGAGGTCCTCAGGGGTGGGCAGGCGGATGAAGAACTCCGGCAGGAGGTCGTCCATGATCGCCGGCATCGGCATGTTCCGGGCGGTACGTGCACGTGGCTGATGGAGTGGAGTGGAGTGGGGTGGGGAGTTGAGCGGCGGCGTATGCGAGATGGGAAACGATTGGGGCCGGCGCACCGGCCGAACCACTCGGCCGGTCGCGTGCGACCTGTGCGATCCCCTTTTCATCGGCCCACAAATTGCTCGCCGTTAACGTCCCACGCGGCTGCGCTGCTTCCTTTCTCTATTTCATCTCGCCGGTCTCTATCTCAGTTGGCCGTCGCCGTTCGCCGCCCCCGCCGGCCGTCCTCATCGCCGGTGGCCACCCGCGCCGGCCGTCCCCGTCGCCGTTCGCCGTCCTCGCTCGCCGGCCCCGGCGGAAGCTGGAACCGCGTCGTGGCCTGCTGCAACCCGTGCCCAGGAGAGCTGCCATCATGGATGGCGAGCATGGTGAACGGCGAGCTGCGAGGACGGCGGCGCTCGCGCTGCAGACATGGCGGAGGCATTGCAGAACCTGCCGCACGCCCTCATGCTACAACCGTTTAACCAAAATGCTTCAAACCAAGATGAAAAAAGTTTCAACCAGATACATCAAAAGCTGCAAGCAGTCATTGCCATGGCGGAGTGCTACAACCGTCGACATAAAATGCTACAACCCTTGATGAAAAAGCTTCAACCCGAAACCATAGAGAAAGCATTAACCAAGGCTGCTACAAAGAAAAAAGCTGCAACCATTTGATAGAAAAGCTTCGACCGTAGATGAAAAAAGCTTCAACCAGATACATCAAAAGCTGCAAGCAGTCATTGCCATGGCGGAGTGCTACAACCGTCGACATAAAATGCTACAACCCTTGATAAAAAAGCTTCAACCCGAAACGATAGAGAAAGCATTAACCAAGGCTGTTTACAAGAAAAAAGCTGCAACCATTTGATAGAAAAGCTTCGACCCTAGATGAAAAAAGCTACAACCATTGAAAAAGAAAGCTACAAACATACACTGCATAACCAGAAAAGTTGCATCCGTTGTAGAGAAAGCTTCAATCATATGTGCGAAATGCTTCAACCTGCGCGTGTCGCCACCGAGCCGCAATCACAGTGGTTGGCTGGCGGCCGTCGCCGACGCAATTTCCTGCAGCCATGAGCATCAACGGCGAGGGGCGGCGGCGGAGCTATAACCGGGGAGAGCTATAAGC